CCAATTCTTGGGGAACATGCAGGCTTAACCGATGGCCGAAGGGGAGCACGGAAAAAGCTCAGATCTCAGGATCCGTTTCCCCGGAGCGGAAACCGTTTCGGTTTGAAACCCGAGCCACGCCCCAAGATCACCACGTCGAAGTCCCCCAAAACCAAGGCCGCCTGGGGTGCCGTTGCGCACACCCTGCGCTCGCGATTTTCCGAGGGGCGTGTCTGTTTTTGGGGGACCACTCAAAATGCAAAAAATGGCGGCTTTCTTGTTGGTTCCCTTGAACAAATAAAAGGTATGCCACCAACAAAAAGACACACCCAAGGGGGGGTTATGGGAAAGTGGTCCTTAGCCCCCTAGTCACTAGGTATACCAATAGTTCTAAGGTGTGTGTCACCCATCATTCTCTTTAGAGACCAAGCATTCTCCCAGTCTGAAAAGCCCAGCGTTTTGAAGAGAAGGATCCCTGACAATGGCGAGGCTACAGCTCGAATAGTCACTAGTCAGTACAGCGCTTGGTTCCGTCATGGTCCGGACGCATGAAACACGATTCGGCTGTTGAACATCTGTCTGCTTTTGGGGTACCCCATGTTTGGTAGGTTCCAAAGGGAAACCAAAAGAAACACCACGATTTATTCGGGAAGCCCTAAGCAAAGACGCACCCATAGACACCAAAGCGGCAACCGCACCCTACCTGTTGAGGGAATGGGAATCAAATTACTGGAAGTAAGACATCCCGAGTGAGGAACGAGAGCTCATTCCCCTCGATGCCATGTTTCCCTGCAGTCCAAGGCGAATTCAAGATGCATTTCACGAACTTGACCCATCCGGTGTGCTTGACTTAGCATCTCTAATCGGTCACTAGGTTCTCCAGTAGAGAGGTTAGAATAAGGGGCCTCCCCCAAAAAAGGGGAGAGAAGGGCACTACTGGGGGACCTAGAAAATATCCGGGGCCGCTCAAAATGCTAACCCCAGAAAAGGGACCCAGAAATAAGAATCGGTCAAGCTAGTTGGGGCCACGGAAAACTGGGAACCCACAAAGGGGATTTTGGGGTATCTTTAGATCTCTGTATCATAGCTCGAGTTTTACCATTTGTCATCAAATAGTTGGTACCTCTTCTTTGAACCTTAATCTTAATTCTGGTACAAGCAGTTTGTAAAATTATGTGGAACCTATTTGGTACCTCTTCTTTGAACCTTAATATTAATTCTAGTCCAAGGAATTTCTAAAATTCGGTGGAGGTTTGGATTGCTTGGAGGTTCAACTCCCCAAACCACCAATCCAAACCACCAACCTGACGGGTTGCCTGAAAAGCCAAAATCGGAACCCAAAATCGGAGCCCGGCCTTTTGCCACTAAAAAATGGGAACCCCAAAAGGGGGCAAAACCCGAAGAGGGAAACAACCGAAGGGGACAAAGCCTAACCAAGGGATACCTGAAAAGGTTCTCAGCCTCAGTTGTTCAGTGACCCTGGAAAAAAGGGAACTCTTTTTGGGGCTTGGACCATTTTCAGTGGGGCAGCCACCAAAAACAAGAGGGACACATAAAAAGAATTGGTGCTGAACAACTGAGCCAGTTGAAACTCCAAGTATCACTGCTTTTGAAAACGAAAGCAACCCCAATTCTTGGGGAACATGAAGGCTGAATCCCTCGGAAAAAACATTCACCGCGGCTAAGGAAACCCGCGCCTCCACCGCCCGCCTCAAGTCCCCCGGCTCCCAGCGCACAAAGTCCTCATCGGAAATCGGATCGGATCGGATCTGTCCGGTCTGAAAAAGAAGCAAAGCCAACGAAAAGAGAAGAGCAACTCAAAACACTGAACTCAAAATGTGGGGGGGCGATTTTAGGAATTCACCAAAGTCAATGTTGAGTGGGGGCTGGGTTGATTTTTGGCCCCTGGTCGTCAAGCCACAGCCTGTGGCTTCCTTTTGGACTCTTTTCGCCATCCAGCCCTCCCTGTTCATTCTGACCTCCCCATTTCTATCATGTGTGTATGTGTGTTTCTTGAGGGTACTCTTCTTGGGGTGTGGTTTAAAAAGGCGGCCAAAAAGGGTTGTGAGCAATGGTCAAACAGCAACCATCTGCTTGTTGGCTTCCATTGGGGACATTCAAGATGTTTGGCAATTTGGCACAAAGCCTCTCGAAATCTGGGACTAAACCATGTTGTCAGCCTGATGTGCCTTTCACTTTTTGATTCAAACACCTTCCAACTACCCAAACTGGTGCTTTCCTTTTCGATCTAAAGCTTGTTGTTCCTTTTGCCGAGTTTCGGGGTAGACCAAAGATCCCTGGCCCCATGCCACTCAGGAGATCGGGGAATCCAGATTGTTTTGTTGCTTGAGCCATGGTTCGAAAAAAAAAAAGCTCCTAGGGGTTGAGTTTCCTTTTCCATTCGTCTCAACCGTCGTTTTTGTCTCAAAAACCGGATCCGTTTGCAACCAGGGGTCTTCGGTGGCTTTCTTGAAGTCCCTGGAAAGAATGGACATGGAAGCCACCCTTACGGTTGCACATGTCGACCACCTCAAACTGAAGAAAAAAGGCGAAAACAAAGTATGGATTAATTGTAGTTTTCCTTCTGTTGCCCTAAGCCACCAAAAAGAGGCATCCCCAGATAGATGTGCCCTGTCCCCCTAAAATGGTGGTGTTCCCTCTGGTTGCCCTTTGAAGTAAACAAAAAAAGAGGGTGGCACAAGCCAAAACGGGTCAACCGAATTGACGAGGGCCCTGAGCTGGGTCGGGGAAAATGATTAACCATCGCCATCCTTGAGCGTTCTCCTTGAGGTCCTCCAGTAGTAGGGATTAGAATAAGGGTACCCGATGTTTTCTGTCTATTTTAGTAGATTGGAACCCTCCCAACCAAAAAGGGGGAGAGAAGGGCACTACTACTGGGGGACCTAGTTTTCCTTGTGGGCTGAACAAATATGAGCTATTTGGGTATAATTTCCAGTATGGGCCATTTGGTCGACATCATTTGAGTCATAATCGAAACGTGGTACGAAAACAGCCTACCAAGAACCATGCGTAAGGAATTGAAAAGGCGGCATTGCTGGATCCATTTACGGCAAGGACCGTTTCCCTCAACCTTCATCTACCCTCCCCACACGTTGCCTTGGCACCTGACAGACGGTCCCTCGACTCACTTGAGTGGATTGGCCAAAACAAGTCAACTTTTTCTTTCCCACTAAGATGGTCCAATCCCAAAAAGTGCCTCGCGTCCATCAACTCAAGAAGCGAGTTGAAGGGGGGATTGATCTTCCAGGTACCCTCCCACAGGTGCCTTCTGCTTGTGGGAGAAAGGGGTACCCGGGTTTTGAGGACGTGGCTTTCCGGATTACCAGCCTCCAGCACCAGGCAGGCAGGCGCATTGGCCTGTCGACAGCGCCTGGGCTGGGGAGGAAGAGCGCCCAAAGCGAGCGAGGGACGGGGACACGACCCAAGGGTCGTAAAAGACTGGCCCAGGTACTAATCTAGGTCCTCCAGTGGAGAGGATAGAATACGGGGTACCCGAGTTTTTTTCTGTAGTCTATTTTAGTAGGGGAACCCTTCCCCAAAAAAGGGTAAAGGGCACTCCTGGGGGACCTGTAATACGACCCTGATCACTGGGCCATGTATGATCCCGATCATATATTTCCGCCTTTTCCCCTTTGTCGTCCCTTATTTCTTTCTCTCCCCTTCGCTCTTTTTTTGGAACCAACAGGTAGCATGAAGTTAAAACAACGGTTTGTGGTTGGAAAGATGCCAGGATCCTCGCGGGGAGCAGACACCGGGGAATTCAGGCAGCCAGGGACTGTTTCTGCGCAGCTTGGTGACGGGGGGGCTGGGGAAGTCAAAACCCGGGAAGTTCTACAGAAAATTGCGGGAAACGCGCCAACTCCGGGGAAGTCAACCGGAAGTTGCTTCCACTAATTCTGGGGGTTGATTCCCCATTCGTTTCAACCATCGTTCGTTTCAAAAACCAGCTGTTTCCCTGGGTTTTAGAATGGTTTCCTGAAAAGAAGAATCCCTGGAAAGAATGGACATGGAAGGTACCCCTAGAATTATTTGGGGCTTGGCCAAACAAATCCTGCACAGACCTCTAGAAGTCTGATGTAAAATCCGGGCTCCGAAAAGGCCGCGACTCGAGACTAGGGCTGAAACTGGACCAACACGAAACCGTCACAAGCCCCATATGGCTGTGGCTCAAAAAGCCGGAATTCCAAAATGGGTTGCCCTGGAAAGTGGACACATAGACCAAAACCTGCGGTTTGCCCCTCCTGTTTGATTTTGAGCCACACCCATATGGTGATTTCTCAAAATAGGGAGCCAACTTATTGGGATGGCAGCGAAAATGGACAACCCAAGAGGAAACCAAGCACCTCGGGTCCCCTTTTTTTCGAGAAACACCAGTATAAGTCTGCTGCTTCATGTTAGGAAGCCAACATGTCCATTTCGCGGGTCCGGCAACGCTTGACGCATCTCCAACAACCGAACCCGACGCAAAGAGACGGGCTAAGCATGGCCTATCATGAAGAGCGGCAATCTGACATCAAGGAACTGTTCTGCAAAAGGCAGAGTGTCTTCACTGCCTTCTGTGGAAGGCTGAACAAACACTATGGCAATATCAAACAAACAGACCACTCTGAGGTTTTTGTTTCTCAGGGATATGTCATCACTCATCCCTGGGAAAGGCCTGTGCAACAAAATGACGTTGCGGAAAACACGCAATGCTTCGTTTACCCTGAGGTGATTTGACGGGCTGTGGCGGCTTCCATCGGCTTCCCCTTTGGTGATTCGGATTTGAAGGGACGGGTCTTGTAGGGGTAAATGGGAACCACACCGATTCGGCTCCAAACCACCCCCAGTGGATCCCACTAATCCAAACCAACCCAGGTTGCGTGCCACACTTTAGAAACCAAAAGGACAAAAGCAACGGCTGGAATTCACCGGGACCGAACGGGGGGGAGCTGAGAAATTCTCATTTTTGGCCACCGGGAGACGGCACAGGTTTGCTCCAAAGACCCCAAGCGACCAGAACAAACACCTGGCAACCAGTCTCATGCGAGGCACGCATGCCGAGTGGGGTTCTTTTTGTTGAGGGGACCCGGTTAGGGGCGATTTGTTTGTTGGTTTGAAGAAATCCTAAAAACACTGTTGGGGACGACGTGTGCATCAAGCAGCTATCAACGGACCGACTCACATTCTGGGGACCTTTTTGCCGGCGACTCTTGTTCGCCTTCTGCCAAGCTGCTCAATGATAATTTGCTGCACATCTGCGAAAATGAATCGCGGAAAGCCGGGGTTGGTTTGAGGGTATGTATCCCCTTTCGGATGGTGTTGCGGAATAACACACATTTGTCTCTAAATGAGGAACCAGCCCCCCCCCAAAAGAACAAAAAAAGCCCTGGGCGTTCGATGTCTTGTTGGTTTCCCTGGAGACCAGTCTGAAACGGGTGCCCGCCAACATGGTCATGGCTTGCTTTCGAAATCCTGGTCTAAAAAGCTGACGGGGTCCCGGACCATCCCTGCCACCGCAAGTAAGGCACAGCCTAAGGCACATGTGTTCTGGCTTAATGCTTTGCAAGCAGGCCCATTAGTCACTCTGTTGTTAAGCTTTGTCAGAACCCCCAGAAACTTCTAGAAATGGTTTCATAACATTAGTGTCTTCAGAAATGCAGATCCAGAACGTGGCCCAAACGATGATGTTGCGCGGCCGCTGTGCACAAAAAGGGCCGCGCCAACATCTCACATTCCCCACTCAAGGGCACGGGAAAAGGTCAAATTGTGTGATCGAAACAGCCCTTGACAGGGGTCAAGATGTTATGCAATGCTTGTGAACAAAGGCTCACTGTCAACCACCTGGGAATCAAAGGTTCGCCCTTCGGGTTGAAAAAACAAAACTCAGCCGACAGGCCAAAGGGTTGACTTGCTGTAGCAAGGCGAGTGCACTGCAATGCTTGCTCCCGACAAGATGGAGCAACGGACGAAACGACTTCTCGCCAAACTTGGGAACATGTGCGTGTGTGTGTGTGTGTGCCATTTTCAGGTTGGGTTTGAAGGGACACAAACTGGAATATCACCAATTTGCTGGGTCCCCCCAATTTCGACAGATACCCATGCGGGGCCCGATCTTGGCCCCTCGCTTTGTCAGAAATTTCAGAGGACCCGAGATGGAAGCTGGATGTCCATGTCCACCTGGAAGCTGTGTGAAATGGATTTTCAAAATTGCATGTTCATGTCATATTCACATCATGTAGATTTCCTGTTGGTTCCACGTGGATCGCATGGCCAAGTTCATTTCTAGCACTTCATGCTGATGAAAAAACATTTGTGCCAGTTCAACCTTTCCTTGGGGCCATGCTACGCTTCAAAAGCCCATGTTCTGGTTGTGGATGTGAAGGAGGGCCTGAACTTGTATACTAACCTAGGTCCTCCAGCAGAGAGGTTAGAATAAGGCTACCAACTCTTTTTTTCCCGTAGTCTGTTTTAGTAGGGGGTTCCCCTCCCAACCCCCCCCCAAAAAAAAGTGGGGTGAGAGGCGGGCACCAAGCAGCTGGGGGACCAAGCGACGTCACCACGCCATGTCACCGACCGGATCTGTCCGCGCGCCTAGGCGCGCGTGGGTGCCCTTCTGGGTGGCGAAGCCGGGCAGGAAGATGTTCTCCGCGTGCAGCGCCTTCAGAAAGCCTCGAGCAAGGAAGAAACAAAACCGGGAGGCGAAAAGGTCACGTCATGGGGGCGTTTTGGAGGAGGGAAGGAGAGGAGGGGAGGGGAGGGAGAGGGAGAGGGAGAGGGAGAGGGAACCACCAAATAGAAGTGGCAGTGGTGGACATCATTGCCCAAGTGATGTCCTGCATGTGGGGGGTTTACAAAAGCTTGCAAGAAGTGATGTATTCGGTGACCATTGATGTTGGTTTACACCAGTCAAGTCATGGGGGCTGGGGAGGGAGGGGAGGGGAGGGGAGGGGAGGGGGGGGAGGGGAGGGGAGGGGAGGGGAGGGGAGGGGAGGGAGAGGGAGCCATAACCTGGAAGGTGCCATGTTAGTCAGCGGGAGGGAGCATGAAAACTGCAAACAAGCCACCATTTGGGCTGGTTTGCATTCCTTGCTTCTCTGACCAAGATCAAGACAACTCCCAAGCATTTGACCTCATGTCAGTAAGCAAATGATGCTGTTTTGCTCACCCCTCACTTCCTGGATACATTGGCCAACCCCCCCCCCCCCCGGCCAAAAAAGAAAGTCCGCCAACTGGGCAAGTGAGTCTCTCGTGAGGGACCCTTGTGGGGGGTTGTCCAAAGAACCACAAACTGCCAATTTCCTCTTGTTGTCCATGTCCGCACATAAGCTGAAGCATGGCTTACTTGTGTTCGTCGTTTTTGAGGATGCCCTGCTTTTGTGGTTTTCAAAAGGGAAACCCAAAGAACAACAACCTTTCTGGGGTTCAAACCAAGGCACACACACACACACTTTGTCCCCCCAATGTACAGGGTGAATTATCATATTTCACCAGCCTGTATGTTGGGGGGCCATTCTCCACATAAAACCCACCATTTTAATTGAATTCGGTCGTTTGAGGTCGCTATAATTCACCCAAAAGAAATCGATGCCCAGGGAAAGACATGGAACAAACCCACCAGAGAACCTCCCCCAAGTCGCGTTTTGCCGGGAAAAAAACACCAGGGAACCTCCCCCAATTTGCTTTTCTAAAGAAGTATCGGCTTCTGCTTGCGCTAAGCCGCGCTTCTGACGCGTCTTGGCCTTGTCCATGCTGACGAAGCCCCCTTGCAGTCCAAAGGACGACGCCGCCGGCAGCAGGCCTGGGGGCAAGGGCGGGGATGGATGCACGCAGCTTGCTCGCCTAAGCTCACTGATCACATGGAGCAGCCTGCAACCAGGGTGCCCTGAAAACAAGAAGAAGACCAGACCCTTGAACTTTGCCCCTTCCGGTTTCTTATGTTTGGTCCATTTTTGGGTGGAAAAGACTCATTTGAGTTCTAATCCAAACCCGGTAACATGGTCGTAATCCCTGTACCCAAAATGGGTTGCCCTGCCAAATGGAACCAAGCACTAAAGCCTGCGGTCCCATGGTTGTTTAATTTTGACCCATACCCATTTTTTGAGTTATAATCAAAACCCGGCATTAACATGGTCGCAATCCCAGAACCATGCTTGAAGAATTAACAAGGCGGCCGCAGCTATTTATGGTTGGGATTGTCCCTTACTAACCTTCATCTACCCGGGTTTTGATTGTGTCTCATTTGCAAAAGTCCCATGGAAAATATGGGTACGGGTCAAAATTAAACCAGGAGATCGCAGGTTTTGGTCCATGTTTCCACGTATCAGGGTTCCATTTCAAGTACCTAGTCTTGACCCACAGCGAGATGAAGAGATTTCCAGTAGCGATAGTCCCATGGAACACCACTTGGATGCGGCTGGTTTGTTGTCCGCCAATTTTGTGAGGGCGCCGATGTTTATGTGGTTGTTTCTTTCGCGATTGCTTTTGCCATGGTTGAGAGGACGCTCACCCCCTGAAACCACAAAACAGAAATGTGGGTGGAGGTCTTGGTTTGTGTGGTTTTTTGTTGGGCCTCTTTTTACAGTTGGTTCATACCCATTTCACAACGTCTAAGGACGAACCAACTAACCAAACAGCAAACAAGCAACGAAAGTCGCCACACTAGCAAAACAACCTCCATTTGCTTAAGTCCCCTGGAAAACAAAAACAGTAGTGATAGCTTCCCCTTAAAATCAACAGGGGAGATATATATATATATACATAACAAAACAAAGTGCACCAAATGGAAGCGAATCAAGGCAAACACGCACGAACACCACGCCAACAGAACGATAGGTGAGAAGAGGCCATCAGCTTCAACTCCCGAGACTTGTGCCCTCCAAGAAAAGAAAGGAATTGGACCCCAGGTTTTGGTCCTTGCTTCCATTTACCAGAGCAACCCGTTTTCGGGTAACCAACTATCTTTTTCCAATCACCCAAATAAGGATCGATCTAGCAAACATTTAGATTGTAGCAGTTAAGTGGTTGGATTTGCACCACTAAACCACAATAAGCAAACATGTAAAATGTGTCCCAGCAACAACATGACACAAAGGCCTGGTTCTCAAACAGCCCCTAGATGATAAAGGTCGCGCAACACATGCCATTCTAGGTCCTCCAGTGGAAAGGTTAGAATCAGGGTACCCGAGTTTTTTTCTGTGGTCTATTTTGGTAGGTTGGAACCCTCCCCAAAAAAAGGGGGTCAAAAGGCACTACCGGGGGACCTGGCATTTCATAGGAAATGGTTGGTCCTAGGAAGATGAGGGGTTCTTAACAAGCTGCACCTTGGGGGAATGATCTGCTGCTCCTGCCTCCGGGTTCCATTTTTCTAGGTGATTCCGTGACCCTTCTTTTCAACCATCCTTCTTTTCATTTAAACAAAAACATGGCTTCCAGAGGTTTTCCAAGGATCCCTAAAAAACCCCTAGGGCTCCCTATATCTCCCCCCCAAAAAAACGATCACCCCCCACCCAAGAAAAACATGCTCACCTTTCATGGGGCCACCCAGAGCCATGCTTGAAGAATTAAGAAGGCGGAGATCCGCAGCTATTTATGGCAAGGGGATTGTCCCTTAACCTTCATCTACCCAGGTTTTGATTGTATAGGGACCGTAGAATCTTTTGGAGCGAAGTCGCCTTCGAGCCGTGGGCCCTGTGGGCCGTGGGGGAGAATTGGAGGATTCTGTCCCGGCGGCCGAGTGCTGCGACCCGCATCTCGACTTGCAAGACGCCGCCGCCGGTGTCCGCCGCGATGGCCGCACGCCATGCCGGCTGCAGAAACGGTCTGCTTGAGTTTCACATGTCTGGGCTGCCCGTTTTCAGATCCCCGAGAAGTGAATACCTGTGGGTTAAATGGGAAAGTACCACTAAACACTAAAAGGCTGAAAGGCTGAGAGAGTGGCTGGGAGCCACCAAGCAACTTGTGTCTGCCAATCTGAAATACAAGTTCGTTCAAGCAACATTGTGGCCATGGTTTCTGTCACGGCCGTTTCCCCTCAAATGTGGGGGCAAAATCTGGGCGATTTGTTTCAACCCCCCGGACTTGCCCCGCCCAGAAAGGAACCTTCATGGATGTGGCAGCTTTTGAGGCCCACACGCCCATGATTCAAACACTGGGAATCTGGGAACAACCTGATCTGCATTCCGAAGCTGTCAACCCCAATCCATGTGCTGTTGCTGCATCTTCCTGAAGTGTTTTTCAACTTGGAGTCTCCCTCAGTCTCTCCTCAATTTTGCTAGTTCAAGTTTTGCCGCTGCCTGAGTATTCTTCGGCGGCTTTGCCAATTCTGTTCGTTGTCTGTCTCCTGGCTAGGCATCGGCAGTGTGCATCTCTAAGACGGAAACACACCGCCCTTCCCCAAACACACCCTGTTGGGAAAACAACAACGGACAACACCTGGAGATGTATGTGGAAGGTGCGTGGGAGGAGGGGCGGGTGCTTGGAAGGTCACAAGTTTTATTTTGATCCCTTTATAGCCATCGGCAACAAGCCGTCTATTTTGCTTTACGGAGCCGCTAAAAAACAACCGGCCGTCACCACAAAAACACATCCCCGCCAGTCCTACTCTGCTCGGTTGGTCAGTCTCTCTTTCAAATATGCGACGAGCCCTGCTCTACTGCGGGCAATGCAAACACCTTGCCACAAATCAGTGCGTCTTTGTGGGGCATCCTCCTGTTGCTGTCAAAGCAAAACCAAAGGAACCATGCTTTGTTCATTTTGAGCTAGGTCCTCCAGTAGAGAGGTTAGAATAAGGGTACCAACTTTTTTCTGTAGTCTATTTAGTAGGGGAACCCTCAGAACCGAAAAAAAAGTGTAAAAGGGCACTACTGAGACAAGCCATGTCAAAAATGGGAGGGGAGCCTCCGCTTTCAGTTTGCCGCAATCGAGAAAGTGCCCATTGATTCCTTGGTTGCAACCACCCCTTCATGCAAACAAAAACGCATGTCAGGTATCTACCAACATGTCATTCATGTTACATATATATTATATATATCTTGCCTTTGGACACTGGTCCGTATATTGAGTGACCCTCAACTCACACATATCTACACAATGATAAAAAAAAATATGTCAACAATGATCAATGTCCAGAACAAACACTCTTGGCCCTCAAATCACCTGTCCAAAGGGCATGCAAATAAAAGGATAAACCTTTTTGACACTGGCTCAAAAGGAAACCAAACGGAAAACCAACGCATTCGGCGGTCCTCCAACTTTGACCCACACCCCCACTCACTTTCCGAGTGCGCCGATGTCCGATTTTCCGATTCGTCTCCCTCTCGACGCGGAAAACAAATTGGGCGCCGGCCGGTGCCGCACACAACCACGTCGTACTCTTCATCCATTGCCTTGAGAATCGGACACACCCCGTGGCGGTGTAAATGCTAATAAATGTGGTGGGTACCCTTTTTGGGATTGATTTAGCTCCATTTGATTTTTTGTCCCCCGGAAAAGATGAGAAACTATGTCCAGTAGTAACATATTCTCAACCAAATGGAATTTTACTGGAAAATCCAAGGGAAAACCAAATGCATATTGGGGGCCTATTTTATGACACACCCAAATCACGTCCGTGTCTTGGTCACAAAGTCGCGATCTTCTGTCGGAATGATCTTCCCATGTTGTTCTGGTCCACTACGGAAGTGAATATCTCTTCTGCAAACCACACACTAGGTGCTCCAGTGGAGAGGTTCGAATCAGGGTACCCTTTTTCTGTATTCTTTTTAGTAGGTTGGAACCCTCCCAACCAAAAAAGAAACGGGTGAGAGGTCGGGCACCAGTTGCTGGGGGACCTAGCTGACAGTTTTCGGGCGGCTCCACGGGCCAACCATTTCGGGGGGTTTACAGAAGCCGACTTTGACGCCTCGGTCATGCAGCAGCCCAAGATGGGTGACCGCGTGCCTTGTGGGTTTGTCTCAAAACAGAACCCACACGCTCGGTTGGTTGTCCTTCTCAAACCAAACAGGAGGTTCCCCCCCCTCAAAAAACAAAAAATAGTCCACGTAGTTGTGGCGATTCGAAAGCGTAGTCTAGGTCCTCCAGTAGAGAGGTTAGAATAAGGGTACCAACTTTTTTCTGCAGCCTTTTTTTACTGGGGGAACCCTCCCCCAAAAAAAGGGAGAGAAAGGGCACTACTGGGGGACCTAGTTGTGGAGATTCGAAAGCGTAGGTAGCAGGATGTTTCACCCCCTCAAACTGAGGCGGCCAAGTGCTTCTCTTTTCCTCTGCCACATCCAGGCATTCATCGCTCTCCATGGACTCCTCCTCTCACTTGCCCAATGACCAAGGGAAAAAACATGACACCGTTTGTGGTGTCGTTTGCAAGGGATATGCAAACAAGTAACACACACACACATACAAAAAGAGAAAGACACACGACAAAGAGAGCCACGCAAAACAACAAGAAAAACAAGCACGCCTTTTTGATGGCAAGTTTCAAAGAGACCCCCACAACAAGCAAAAGAACAAAACGCTGAAAGCTCTGCATTCTCTGCCCAAGTACGCTGAGTGGAGCAAAGAACGGCTCGGTGGCTCGGGCCGCGGCGGGTTCTAAGGGGTACCGCTGGGGATCTTGCCTGTTGGTTTAAAGCGAACCACGCACAAACCAAAGAAACTCCGAAACAACCCGACACCTTCTTGGGTGACTCGTTTGAATGACCAACTCCACAAAAAACGTAGAAGTGGCCAGTTGGTCCTCCATGTCCTCCTCTTCGTCCTGCGCCATCGCCGCTGCAATCCTACAGGAGAAGTCGCTAAACCCATGTCAAACAAAAAACAGAAGGCCAACAAGCAGGGAAAGGGGGGTTCGGTACCCTCCCACCGACTGATATGGAAGTGCACAGACCGCTGTAGAAAGACTACTTTCCTCTTGGAACGGGGCTTTGTGCACTTCCACGTTTGTCGGTGGGAGGGTAAGGCCCTAAGGAACCTCAAGGATCCCTAGGAAACCCCCAAAAAAAACCTATGCGGCTCTCAACTACCCCGCTTGCACCTACCCCCCTTACGGATTCCATCATACACTTCACTGGGCTCTTCGAAGGGAGCGTTAGCCAATCTGATGTTCAATCATCCCTACAAAGCCGCAAAGGGGACCAAATGGTGGCAAAAGCCAAGGTCATAGGGTCCTTTGGGGAAGATGGCCCTGGTAGATTTTGGAACAACTCACTTCCTGAATGGGACAAAAACATAACTGTTCATTTATAACTCAAAAGTATAAAGTCCAGCGGGTGATGCTGGAAACCGCGCAGGGGGGCGTAGTGTCTCAGCATTGGGACAATTAAAATAGTGCGTTGGCCTATTTTACTTGTCGAACCACCCAACAATACCCTCAACAAGCAAACATGCCCGTATGCGGTTGATTTTTATTTTCTTTTTTGACGGTACCCTTTTCAGGTTGGTTTGAAAGGGACACCGACATGAAAACCACCATTTCGGTTGTCCAAATCCCTATCTTAGCACCTATCTGCAATTTTTACCATAATGCCAAAGGCTGATTTCAGAATTGGACACAAGTAAAGGCTTCCGCTCGTTACACCCCCGAATTGGTAGAACCGCTCGCCATAAAATAGGCAGACCTACTGTGGCTAGACGGAATCCTGCACTCTTGGAAATCATGGGCAGCCATTGTGTGTGGGTATTTACAGGCGGAATTGAATCATTCCGGGGTTTCTTAGGCTGTGCAGAATTTCGTCCATCCACAGTATCACTGTTTGGTGAATATGGGGATCGATGGAAAACCCAATCTCCAAAAACAAATAGAGTCTAAAGATCCAACCTGATAGCAATCACGACATATGAGTTACAATCAAAACCCGGTACTAAATGGTCTACCCGAAACCATGTAGGGAATGGAGAAAGCGCCCGCAACTATTCTGGCTAAGCTCTACCCGGGTTTTGATTGTGGCTATGGATCTTTCGCCCCATCCCCTCCTTTGCAGCGCATCTTTGGGCGCCAAGCAGGGCAACTGCGCCACGAAGTCCGCGCCCAGCTGCGAGACATCCAGCGCTACCAGCGCCTCGCCGGCGGGCAGCACGGTCACGTCGAAGAGCCGCGCCACGTCGCCCGGCGAGATCGCCGCCCCTGAAGCCGAGGCGAGGCAAGCGAGGTGACACGCGAGGGTTGGTCGAATTTTCGCCGAATTCTGAGGTTCATCATTCCGTTGGTCCTTTACCCACCAAAAAAAAAAACGCCGCATCGCCGTGTCCGGCAGCTTCGCTAGCTCGCCGATTTTGGGTTTCCCGGCCACTTTTGGCAAATGCAAAATGGGGGGAACCACGACTGGACTGCCCTCAGATCCCTGCTAAAAGTTTAACTTTTAGTGGCGTAAATGGAAACCCGGCTAAATTCGGAAAGCCAAGTACTAAACCCTAAAAAGCTAAAAAGCTGAGGGGATGGCTGGGAGCCACCAAGACAAAAATAAGCAAGATGGGTGGTTTCAATTTGATGTCTCTTTGCACCAGCAAAGGGTACCCTTCGAAACCAACAACTCCGGCATGTGGTTCATTCCTTGCTTCACTTTTCAATCACCGGTCACAATTTGTAAATGCATGCAGTTGTCTCCTGGCCTTTCCGACATCTTCTTCGAAGCTCTGTCAAGATCTTGCGGCTCACGAAGGTTGTTGCGTCCTCCTCCGCGCTCTCGCCATCGCCAAAGGCGGCAGAATCGTTTCCCTGGCCGGAGGCAGACACCTTTTCCTCGCTGGCTGGCTTTTGCAAGAAACATTTCGGAAATCCAACCGAACACTAAAAATCTAACCTGGAGATTCAAACACCCAGAAATTCTGGGCGTTTTGGGTAATGGGTACGATTGGAGGAAAACTGGGGGTTCTAGTACGAACCGCTGGAAAACCAGTACGAAGGCCGGCGTCTAACGTGCTGCTGGCCGTTTGGGAGGATATTTGAGCCAACAAGATCTGACCTCATATCAATGTAGTTTCCTTTCTCGGTGCTTGCATTTCCCGTTGCAAGCATGACCCTACATCGGTGCCCAATCAGGGCATGCTTTTGAGCGGGCAGTGCATGAAACAACCCCCCAATTGACCCACTTTTTGGGATTTGCGCTCGTTTGCGGGTTTTTGCGGGCGTTTTGCGGGTTTTTGCGCTCGTTTTGCGGCCAAAAGTGGTACGAACAAAGTACGTTTCTCACTCGAAGCATGTCTAGAGTAAACTTGCTCCGATTTGCGCACCAGTCCCCCGCACAGCTAGGATTGAAGGGTGTTGATGGAGGGAAGGATTCGAAGTGTTTAGAAGTTTCTGAAGATTCGAACATCTGGTGTAGTGGGCAATATCAAGCTGAATGAGAGAGAAAGCCCTGTGCAAGAAGGAAACACCCAATAATTCGAATTTCTAGGTGTCTTAGTCGTTTTGCGGTAAAAACGATACGAAACAGGCAAAAGCAATACAATGACCAAAACACCTACTTTTTTCTAGCCGTTTGAAGCTGCAGGAAGCTGAGGAACCGGATGGCTGGGGTTACCACCAAGTAAAGAGGGGCCTTCACTTCCTAAGTGGCTGCAAAAGTTGAAAGTCCAGCTCAGGGAGCGAGGGCCTGCAAAGGGGAAGCGCCTGTTGATTGGCTACCACTCATTCTTGGCAGAAACACCCAACCCGTCTCCTCGTCAGAGGCAACAAGCGCTTTCTCCTCATCAGAGGCAACAAGCGCTTTCTCCTCGTCAGAGGCAACAAGCGCTTTCTCCTCATCAGAGGCAACAAGCGCTTTCTCCTCATCAGAGGCAACAAGCGCTTTCTCCTCATGAGAGGCAGCAAGCGCTTTCTCATCATCAGAGGCGGACAGCGAAGCTTTACCCGCCATAGAGAAGTCTCCGTCCAAATTCTCAGCGGCGGCTTGGGCAATTAGGCCTTCCAAATCGTCCAGCCCCGACGTACCTTGGCACAAATTCTCACGTATCAGCAAAGGGCTTCTGACCATGCACGGAATGGGGCTCTTTGACTGGGGCCCCTTATGTAAACAAGATCCTCTTGTTCGCCTTAAAAGGGGCATGGGTTGCTTTTGTTCTGTTTTTGACACCCCGCCCCTGTTGTTCAACCACTTGCAAGGAGCCAACAAATGTCCCAAGTTGCTTTCACCATGAAATGTAGCTAGTCTTCAACTGCCCCAAAGATACTCCCCCAAGAATGCACATGGAACTCCTCAAACTTCACTGGGTGGCAGGTGAGTAGCAGAAGGTTACGGAGGATTCCTAAGTGGGGGCATTCTGTTGGAGAACCTACCAGTCAATTCATCAATCAGTTTGGGTGATGGCAATTTGCCCGAATTTGACCGACAAAAGAAACGGAATAAATGCAGCCTTTGCTCTCAAACATCTCCCTCCTGAAGGCTCCTCCCCTCTCCGGACTTGGACCCATTTTTGCATTTGGGGTACCCCTTTGCGGTGCCCCTGTTTGACAAGTTAAAACAAACACAAAACGCTACTAGGTAAGAATTCGGTGAAACAGTTCCACCACCATTTTGTTTATGAGGAAGGACACTGTGACTGTCCTCTACTTTTGCCCTGCTGTATGTCTGGCAACATCCAGCCCCTTTGTCTCGTCTTAGATGCCCAATGGCCATGGAAAAAGAGGGGCGTGTCTTGATGGTTGATTTTACAAGGGGGGGCCTTGCCAAACCAAACGAAGACGGGCGCTGCTGCCAAACTGATGTCTGCCATCTACTACCCTAGTGTAGTCAGTTTAAAGGGAACCCCGCCAAACAAGTAGGAAACAAGCAATCGCACCACTGGATCTGGTGTGCCATAAACCCAGTCCCTTTCTGCTGTTTGTTTTTTTCTGGGTACCCTTTTGGCCATTGGTTTACTGGAAAGCGAGAAGAGCATACAAGAGTCCAAATCCCCCCCATTTTGACACACACACACACAAAAGCGCGCAAGCGCGCCCATTTGGGTGTGGCTCAAAATTAAACGATCGGAGAGCAAACCGCAGAGGTTGGTCCATGTGTCCACTTCCCGATCGGGCAACCCATTTTGGAATTCCGGCTGTTGGAGCCACTGCCATTTGACGGCGACGAGTTGCCGAGGCGCCGTAGAGATCCTCAGCGTCCAGCGGCGTCACCGGCGGCCCCTTCTGCCGCCGCCGCTTCGCGGCGGGCCCGCGCTCGGCGCTGTGGGCTTCGGCGGTTTGGGACTGGCACGAAACCCCACGGCGGCCAAGGTCTAAGGCGAACTTCCCCGTTCTTTCCATGGATCTGTCCAGGAAAAAAAGAGGGAGGGCCGAACAGTTGGTAGGTGGGTTCCTTACACCCCCAGATCCCCAGTTTGGTGATTCTGGTTAATAACAGGTTAGGAGCCCAAGGGTCCCAGCTTCGAATCTGGAAGCTGAAACAGCTCTTGAAAGAACCATGACATCAGCCCTTGGAATCCCGCTGAGTGCCCTTGAGGTGACAAGTTTCAGGCAACACCCTCCTCAGTAAGATCAAATTCACGGGCAGCGGAAGAACAACCTGCAGCTGCTTACCTCCTCGTCAATCAGAGGGAACTAGCCCCCTCCCAAAAGAAAAAAAAGAGTAAGAGAAACAACACAAGACAACATCACATGAACGGTGGCTGGAACACGCTGATCTTTCAAGGGACCTCCATCTGCGACAGCCACCGACTCCGGCACCTGTTTCGCTTCAGATCGCTTCTAGGTCCTCCAGATTTGAGAGGTTAGAATAAGTTGGTGCCAAAAAAAACTGTAGTATGCGTATGTTAGTACGTAGGTTGGAACCCTCCCAACCAAAAAAGTTGGGTGTTAAAAAGGGCACCGAGCTGGGTGCCCGAGGCTTGCCAAGCGCCTGGTCCATGCGGCTCTTCACCAGCTGCAGCACCGCCAGCAGCTCCGCGTGGAACTCCGGCAGCTCAGCGGCGGCGGCCTCCTGGCAGAAAACCCCCGGCGCTTTTTGCGCCGGTTCTGAGAGAGGACGTGTTCCTTGTTCCACCCTTACCCCTTAAAACTCCAAGCCCTGGGGAAGTTTTCATCTTTTACAGACATATAGCCCATTTTACCCAAAAAGTTGAAAAGTTGTGTTTTTAAGAGGGAAGCCGAACAGCCGGCATTGTGGCTGATCCATATGGCGTTGCCTTGATTAGCTCGGCATCCTTCCCTCCATTTCCTGATGTAGTCTTTTCCCCTGGCCCACTGGGTATTGACCCCATTAGGCACATCTCCGAATAAAACCCTACTATTTTGAACCATTCTGGGTCATTTCCCAAGGGTGTAACCCCAGGGTGTAATACAAACACCCTCAGGTCGGTGGTTCGGAGGTTGGCATCGGTGGTTCGGAGGTTGGCATGGGTGGCTTGGAGGTTAGGGGGTGGTTGTCCATTTTGCCTCCAAAACTCAGGGGGTCAAAATCCCAAACCATCCAAATCCAAATCCAAATCACCAAGGACAACCTGATCTTGATCTCCCAGTTGCAACCATGATACAGTTGCATAATTGCCGGATAGTGTACCGACTTGTATAATTGCGGGCCCAAACAACTCAAAAACAACAACACGACTTGTTTCCAATTGTTGTGCCCAAGAACCACTCCTAGTTTTTGATTTTCACTCCTGCCTTTTGCAAGCCGCTCCTGCTGTTTGATTCATGCATTTGAAACACCTAGAGGGTCTCCTGGAAATAACTCGGAGAACGGGGAAAAAAAACCAGAGAAACAACCCGGAGACGGAGGACCCAGATGGTCACTTTGAAGGGTTGCCCCTGTCAATCATCCAATCTCCCACATGTCGTCACCGAAAATTACAACCATGTCGCCAACGAACATTGCGACCCAAAAGCTGCCCCAATTACAAGGCATCCGTTTGCGTTAATTTGTGCATGCCCCTCTTAGGTAGAATTGCCTTCAGCGATGGGAGGACAGTATTCGGGGCGATGACTATTTGAGTGACTTGAACTTGGACAAGCAGTACCGGGATCAGTCTAACAGATTTGCAATTGATCAAACCTGCCTTCAAGCAAGGAGTCCCGTTTCAAGTGGAAGTTGTCCAGTGGCAAATCGCATAAGCTTGTATCATCCCTGCATCTCTGGAAGCACACCGCACAGCTGCGACGCTTTTGTTGGTGTGCAGGAAACCCATCCAGGAACAAAGAACACGTGAACATTAACTTTTATTAGTCTACCTCACGCAAGCAAAAACAAACTGGGGGTGAAAACCAACACCCTTTGATCTCTCGCGATATGGGTGTTCTTTTTTTGGGAAGCCCCCCTTTTGGTTGTTCAAAAAGAAACCAGCAGGAACAACCACCACTTCTTGGGGGCCCCCTAGACAAAGACACATCTTTTATATATATATATCAGTTGTTCAGTGACGCTGGGAAAAAGGGAACCCTTTTTGAGGCTTGGACCATTTTTCGTGGGGCAGCCACCAGCAAAGGGAAAAAGAATTGGTGCCACTGAGCAACTGAGATATATCTGCAACCAGAATCTGACTCCGGGACCCCCGAGAAAAGCGCGTGGAAAGGGCTTCACCCACGTCACATCAGCCCCGATGGGTTTGTCCAAAGACCATGTGTTGGCCGTTGAGCTTCGATTGAAAACCAAAGCGCAGCAGTGAAAAACACAAACTTGTCAGGGCATCTGACAAGCCCACTTGGTGATGTATTGGAGCTCTTTGGCCCTGGGTGTCCATCCTAATTGGCAATTGGATTCTGCTCTGCTTGGTGTCCATCTGATGTCTTAATTTTTACTCCTACCAGGAGCCTCAAAAACCCTTCGAAGGGTTGATTCCTTTTGGTCCCCCGAAGCAACCCCAAATGCCACCCAAAAGAGAAAAAAACGAGCCACCCATTTCTCTCTCCCCTTCACACCCACCTCACAGGTGGGATTCCAACTTGGTGCCATTTCCCATATCAAACCTAGTCAAGGTGCATCAAACGGGGGAATCCTCCCGTATCAACCTGGTTCCCCTGTATCCCTGCTACTGGTTTCCCGTGTATCCTTCACCATCCGCGTCAGGGCAGCCATGCTTTGCCGCCAGCTCGCCATCGCGACGACTAGTTTCGCCCAGCTCCGCGCTTCGACTTGTCAGGCTTCGAGTGGCAACCTGCTTGTGGGTTCATAGCGGAAACCACGGGCTGCCTATTTAATGCCAACGGCCAAAGGGCCATACCCTTCGCGCCATGAGAAGGACAAATGAGTGAGTGATGTGGGAGGCTACGACGAGTACCCCCTTTCCGTGGTAAACAAAAACACACACCAAGCGGCGCAACAAAAATACGAGCAGTTTAGGATTTAAGTTCCATGTGTCCCGCAACATCTAGTTCAAGAAAAGTCCTTTGGCCTGCAGTGTCGTTGCCCATGCTCTTGGCTCTGCAACTCGCTCACGCTGCTTCAGGTCAAAAGACCCTCCCACCCTTGTCACATGGAACCTGACCCTCGGGGGCCCGGGTTGGACCATTTGCCCAACAAAACAAAATGTCCCTGCCAAATTCTATGTTGGTTGGTGGGAGGGTAATACACGTCATGTTCAGAACCAATGTGTCCAACAAGTCTGAACTCGCTCAACGCACTGCTGAGCCATTTTCAGCAATTCTGCCACGCCGGCGTCGTGCTGCGCCCCAACTCCTTGCCTAGCCCCGAACAAAGATTTCACTAGCATTATATAAACAACATGGCAACATGCACTGAAACCAACGGCAGCACCTCAAATGTCCTGCTTTGTTCTCTGCTTGTTTCCTCCGGAAAGGATAGTATAAAGACCTATAAGTGAATCAAACTACATTATACTACTGTTGTCGTGAAGTGCGGAGCAGCGGTACAGCGATTCGCATCTCCACGCGTGTTGGTTGACCCCCCACAATTGAGCCCAGGTTGCAATAGACAGCCAATTACATATCACTTGCCGCTTGAAACACTAGTTCGTTCATCTTGCCAAACCGGGGAACGAATCAAAGGGGAACTATACCAAAGCCGCCCATGTTGGTCCCCTGCTTTAAGACAAACCCATATCGACAGGTCGTGCGCAACCGGACCGAGCTGCAAAGGTAAGTGTCTGCACACAAAGGACTTGGCTTCTTATGTTGATTCAAGCATGCCCAAAAAAACAAACAGTCTCAGGGTTGATCTTCAAGAATGAACCTTAGTCTTCCAGGGCCCCTGAAGAACCGCGCTTCTTGTGTTTCCGAATTTTAAATGGGTGTGTCTCAAATAGGGGACCCCCACAATGGGCGGTTTTCCTTCAGGTTTTCCCTTTCGAGCAGCCCCAAAAAGGCTTGGCCGCTGTTGACCCCTCAGGACAGAGTTAAACTTGTTGTGGATTCAACGGGAAACCAGCTTGATTTCCCCAAAAAATATAGTTCAAAGATCACTTTCCCAATAGCAATCAACAAGGATGCCGAGCCTCAAATCAAAGCAAGGCCAAATGGATCAGCAGTGCCGGCTGTTCCGGTGCCTCCGACTCAGAGAGGGACGAGTTCGCGCACCTCAGCAGCGCGAGGTGCGAAGATTGAGTCCATCGGAACCCAAAAAGATATGGGTGTGTACCCTTATTTTGGGCTAGGTCCTCCAGTAGAGAGGTTGAAAAAAGTTGGTACCCGATTGTTTTTTCAGGATGTCTATTTTAGTAGGGCAACCCTCCCCCAAGAAAGGGGAGAGAAACGGCACTGCTGGAGGTTTTAAAGGAAAACCAAGAGGCAAGGCACTATCTTTGCGGTTGCTCGTGGGTGAATGGTCATCCCATTGACTCGTCCACCAAAACCAATTGAATCACTGGGAGGCTTTAAATCCACCAACCACCATTGAGGGCGTTGAGTGTGAAGCAAACCGACAACCCTTAGCGAGGTGGTTGTAGTTTGCAGATGTCCCTTTTACCCGCAAAGCTCTCTTGGGGGCATGCCCCCCTTCGATAGATCCCTTGGGTGGGGAGGACAGCCAATCTTTCTGGGCAGCGAGATGCCCCCAAAGTCAAAAAGCAGAACACAAGTACAGCTAGGTCCTCCAGTAGAGAGGTTAGAATAAGGGTACCAACTTTCTTCTGTAGTTGATTTTAGTAGGGGAACCCTCCCACAAAAAAAGTAAAAGGGCACTACTGGGGAACCTAGACACAAGTACAGGTTGAAGCACATCCACTTTGGGACTCTGGATTGGCACCTTAGCCTTATTCTTGGTCAAACTCGTGAAAGAGATTTGAGGCTGCCAAAGGAATGGTTGTGGACATCACACTTTCCTGTGTGTCAATCAAACATCCCCACATCCATCTGAAAACACAGTCAAAGGCATTTACCATTCTGTATCCCTTCTATACCCAAAGGAAAACGTGTATTGCCCCTTTTTGGATAAAATTAGAGTTGGAACTTCAGCCGCACTAATCTGTGAGGATTGCCCTGAACCACACGTTTCAAGGCACCCATTCTGGTGCACTCTGTTTGACTGATCTACATGAATTGCGATGATTCACCAACTGAGCAAAACCCAGTTGTTCAACGACCCTGGTAGGAAAAGGAACCCTTTTCGGTGTTGACTCCTGTTTTTGGAGGGGGGAGGGCCACCAAACAGCGATTCTAAGGGTGGAATCCACTCTGAAAGGAATCTCCTAGGGCATGTTGGCTCGTTGGAGCTTCCCGTTGAACGCTAAGAATGTTTTGCCTCGAAGTAAAGGGACACCTCACAAAAATGGATGTCTGGGGGAAAATCATCCATAGGAAACATCTGGTCAAGTCTCACATCTAGGCCTTTTGGCTCTACTTGGCTCCCAAAAGGGAATAGTGTGCCACATGGCAATGGGTCAAAATCCAAATCGGTTAGCCCCCAGTGAACATCCCGATCCAACCACTAAAATAGACTAACATGGGTGGTGCACCTACCCCAAAATGGCACCATTGGTTTTGACCCACAGCCACATATTTTACCTATATCTTGAATAACTTAGCCCCTCGCAGGGGCAGCTCTTGAGTCTTCGCAAGTGCAAGCAAATCAAGGCCCAAACTTGGTTGACGTTGGAAGGGGAGCAACCATTTAAATTTGAGCAGCTAAGTGGGGATTTCCCACTAAACAACAATAAGCAAAAATGTAAAATGCTTCCCAACAACAACCATGAACTGAGTGTTGCAGGCAACATGCAGAAAGCAACATCTGAAGACCAGCTGCCACCAACCCCCTGTGGCGCCCCGCAAATTTCCCGATGCGCCCGTTGGGAACGCTCGAGCCACGAAACGTCACAAGTGGATGCTTCGCACGGAGGAGGTCAGGCCCCGGGAAAACGTCACATGCAAAGCCCTCGTGTTCTTTTGGTTTGGATGGTTGGGCTTGGCATCATAGGTGGCCTTTTGGAAAAAATAGATGGCCCTGGTAAATGGAACAAAACCCATCTAAACCAGTGCCATCGATTTTTAACCAAAGTAACCTAAAAAGGACGCCTATGAATGGAATTGTGTGTAATTAGGAATCTTTCTCAACAGGGGTCACCGGATTTCCCCTTCACATGTTGCAATTGTACCGGGTGTGTGGTGTCCGCAAAAACTGCCACTTTTGCTTTTGGAGGTTCCAAAGGGAAGTGGGTGAAACCCTGACCAAGGCAATCCTTGCAGAAACTGGGGGCAGGGTTGCATGCCTTGAATCAGGGACCAGTCTGGCTAACCTTTTAGTAAGTCTGTACCTCCTGATGAAAGGAACCCATGGTTACAGTTGGGTGTGTCTTGTTTTGCGTTGGTACCCTTTGGTGGTTGCAACAGGAAACCAAAAGGAAGGCAGCCGTCTTCTGCGGGGGGTTCCCGCAAAAAAGAGACACACCCAGTCCATGCTTGGAAGCATGTTCCTTTTTCCCAACCTGAGCTGCTTCCCAGACTGGCCAGTACCACTCGAACCAACCAGATCCTTGGTGATTGTCCGAATGGCTGCATGTCTCTTGTCATCCACCAAAAGGAAACTCAAACTTTCAATAAGCCAATCTAAGGGTTGATTTCGTAATTTGCAACCATCGTTCTTTTCAAAAGCCAGCTACTTCCCCAGGGGTTTTGGGTGGTTTTGTAGAAAGATCCGGATGCCTGGAAAGAATGGGAAAGGTACCCCTAGAAAGTAGGCAATGTTGAACCAGCTACAAGGGACACACACCTGCGTCAAAGAACTGCCTCTGGCACTGTGCGAACCATCTATGACCTTGAGAAGGGCTCCTGTGCAAAAGGCTGAGCTTCGAACCATGTCTTGTGGCTTGTCACTGGTGGCCGCGTATCAGGACGAAGCTGTGTTGTTTATGCATTGTTCTCAGGCATCGCTCATGACTACACATCTGAGAAATAGCAGTGCTGCCCAATTTCTAAACCCTGGCCCTTGTGGGCAAAGCAATGGCTCCTGAAACGGGTTGATCCCCCTTGCAGTTGTTTGATCACGGGAGCAACCCGCAAATGCCTTGTTTCTCCGATAGGGACATTGAAAAAGCTCGCGAGTCCCCCGGTTGCGGTGAAATTTAGCCTTCCTCCCACTATCAGAAGGCATCTGCGCGAGGTGCTCGGAAGTTCAATTTCCTCAAGAAACCCTCCAGGCGGAGGAATGGTAGGTTAGTACTCCCTCCCAAATGAACCTTAGAAAGAGAACATTTTGACTGAACCTCAGGTGCGCTTCAGCACCAGGTTCCTCCATGTCGCGTTTTTCGCCAAAGCGGACAAGCGCAAGTGGCGATCCCGTGCAAGCGAGGCCCACGCACTTCGGGTGCCAAAGTGAGTCACCCAAAACCATTGAGAGAACTTTGGACAATCAAAAAAGCAGGGGTACGGAGGGAGCGGGGATATGGGGGGATTCCCTTGGCGCCATTTCCCATATCAAACTTAGACAAGGTGCATTTAGGGGTATCCCTGGTTCCCCTGTATCCCTGCTAGTTGGTTTCCCTGAGAATTTGCAGGGTGCAAAGACTTCCAGAGCCCCAGCTTGGGAGTGAGCTGCCAGAAATGCAAAAACAAACATCTTGAAGGGAAACTACCCAAGGTGCGCAGGTGCTAAAATCGATAAGCCAGGCCGCAACTGCCGAGGCCTCACAGATTCGTCTCGGACCCAGG